AAAGAAGAGGCGTGCCTGCCGTTCGCAGCACTGAATAAAACCATAAGAGTGCTGAAAATTTCAAATTGAAAACACATTCGATGGTTAGAGAAATGATCTTTAAATTGTCCATAATACAGATATTACTGCTCGATTGATAGACCCACCAGTAGCTTCTCAATGATGCCAGTTTCTCGAGTTGTTTGATTTGGATCGTTTGCCCCAGAGGCCGTGGCCGAAGAGTTGCTTGACTGCGATCCAAATATGGACGATGAGCTGCCAGCGCCGTTGTTCAACACGCTGTTCGACTGAAAGACGCCAATTTGTGGTGGATTCTGAATGATATCGTTGACCTCATTAGCATCGAACATTCCAATGCTGGGATGTTGTTGCTGCTGCTGTTGTTGATGTTGCTGCTGCTGCTGTTGTTGAATGTGTTGCTGCTGCTGTTGTTGTTGCATATGCTGCTGATGATGGTGCATGCTCTGCTGCTGCGGTGCCATGGCCAGTTGTACGGCCGCTGCTGGCGGTCCATGAGACGGCTGCAAGCCCAACGTGGTGGAGTCCAACGTAAAGGTGCCAATAGTCGGAAAAGTTGTAGGTATGTTCAAGTTGCGTATGGCAGTAATGTCAAAGCACTGCATATTATCGTAAATTTCTACAAAGCCATGGAGAGGGAGAGGAAAAGATTGAATTGAGGGATTAATAAATATTATTTAAGTATGTCTAAGTTAGTTAGTATAATTTAATATGTAGACTTTTTATTCCGAGCTTTTTCTTCCTTTATATCATCTGCCCAAAAAGCATAAATTAGCGCTATTTATGTTAATATTAACAGCACAGTTGCTTAACAGCTTTCTATTAATAGAAGAATCAGCCTTTTACAGCCCTACTTATCAGACTCTCTTATGTTAAAGTTCCCAATTCCAATTAACATGTTCGGAACATGCTATTTATGCTATTTAACAGCAGTAACGTATGCTACTTAACAATCTCTTAACATATTCCAATTAGAAATGTACTAACATTCACTCCTATTACATATAATGTTGCTCATATTAGAGATAACATTTATGGCATTTCTGTCTTACCTTCGCCCGTGCGATATCCTTTGGATTGCGTATTCATATTGTTAATTAACTTGAATTGGCTTTGTTTTGGATGTTATAGAAAATGCTGATAGCGACTAGCACAAGGAGACTGGTTGTTGTTGTTGTGATTCAATGTTTATTGTTGTTGATGACGAGAATGTTGAATTATTTAAAAGAGAGCGAGCGCGATTTATTTTTCTTTTGGGAACAGTTAAAAAATTTATCTGCTTCCGGCATGGAATTATGTATTATATTTTATTATAATTTTTAATTTTTATTTTATTTATTTTTTCAATTTTTTATGTAATTGTTTTATATCAAAGAGAAAAAACTAAGCAATAAATACGTATTTGTTTTTTATTTTTGTGTATATATATTTTGGCTAAACACTGGCACAAGAGGCACTGAAATTCCTTGTCTTCGAAGTTAATAAAGAAACAATCATTTGTTGTTGTTGTTGTTGTTGTTATGGGTGGTCAACTTGCTTCGATTTATATATAATTTATTATTATTTTTTTTGGGGGCAAGCCCCGTCTCGAAACGTATGTAAAAAATGCCGTTCAAATTTAATGTTTCTTTTTTTTTTTTTTTTTTTTTTTTTTACTAATTATTGTTAGTTTATGTTTTTAAAAAATATATTTATATTCGTATTTGTATTCTGATGAAAATGCATAAGCAGCTGTTAGCTGCCGTTGGTTGTTAGTTGTTGTTGTAGTTAAATGAATAAACATTAATTTTTGTTATTTTTGTTTATCTATTTATTGCATTTCGATTTTTTTCAATATATTTTTTTTAGTTTTACTAGAAAAATACACTGGGGCGTTTTGTTGAATACTTATTATTTTTTTTATTTTTTTTTATTTTCCTTCGATTATTTTAGTTTACTTTGATATTAAATTATTTGATTTGTTTATTTGTTTGAGGGATTTTCTTGTTTTGGAGGGGAAGTGATTAATATGTTTGCTTTTGTTTTGTTTTGTTTACTATCATATACATTTATATACTATATATATATTTTGTAGGCAATCGTTGTGGTTTTTTATGTTTATTATTTAGGAAGTATTAGTGATTTACTTTTAATTTTTATATATTTTTTATTTGCTTGGTACACCCTAATGCGCTCACTTGTTCTATCTCTCTCTCCCTCTCTGCTGCGCTGGTTCCTGCCTGCCAGGCGGCGCTTCAATGGTTTGGTTTGGGGCTGCTCTACAAGTGTTCCGTTATGTTAATTTTCGCTGTATTTAGTTGGTGTTGTTGTTGCTATTACTTTTCGTTTACACGTTTTGTATATTGTTTATTGCTGTTTCGTTTACTATTCACTATGCACATTATTATGAATTGTTATTTATATATATATAGATAGATACTCTTTAATTGTTTTCTTTCGGTTTTCATTTACTATTTTTGAACTTTAAGCCTACGTTATTTTCTTTTTTGTTTTGTTTTAAATATATATATATATATATATTTTTACATATATATATTTTGAATGCGCGTTTTTGTTGAAAGTCTTTTTTTTAACCTAGGGTTGTTTTTATGTTTTGCTTTTTGTGTTTCTTCTTGTTGTATTTTTCACTTATTTTTTGCTTTATACTTATTTACTTAAAGTTTATATAATATAATATATAATATACTATAGTATATATGTATCGAAGTCCTTTAAGATATCACGAATTTGTTTCAATGTTTTTTATCTTTTAATTTGCATTTGCTCTTATGTATAAAGTGGTTGTTGTTGTTGTTTTTTTTTATTTTTAAGATTTTCGTACTTCTCCTTCTACCTCGTTTTTCTATTGTTAAAAATTACAATGTTCTTCTATTTAGTATTCATTTTCTTTTGTTGTTTTTATTAATGCTTAGAGATTTTTTTGTATTTATTTATATTTATAAATTTACAGTAATTATCACAGAGTTGTTAAATCTTTCTTTGAATTTGTTTTTTTTTTTTTTTTTTTTTTTGTTTAGTTGCTTTTAATCGTTATCGCATTTAGACTTTTAACATTTCTCACTAGGTACACTTATAAAAAAAGAAAACTATTTAAAAATAAAAAAATTGTTTATTATTAAAAATAAAAAAAACTGTTCTGGGTGTCTTTCCGGGCACACAGGCCGCGCAGTTTTTATTTTCTGTTCCTTTTAACTTATTGTTTTAATTATATATCTTTTATTTAGCTGGGCTTTATTTAATTTCGTTTATTTACAATTTTTTTATTGGCTAAGTAGCGGTTGTTTTTTTTGTATTTTATAAATTTTTTGTTGTATTTTTTTTTTTTTTTTTTTTTTGTATTTTGTGTTACTCAGTTGTTTTTGTTGCTGGGGTCTTCATATTGTGTGTGTTTGTTGTAAAAATTACTTAAAATTAATAGAATTCTTGTAGATTTTTGGTTTTAAATGTTTTTATTTATTGTTACCGTTTTTAGTTGCTCGATTTTTTTTTTGTTTTTATATTTTTATATTTTTTTTCTGTTTTTAGTTCATTTTTTTTTTTTTTTTTGTTGCTTTTGTTTTTTCTTTTCTTTGCGGCACAATTGTTGCTTTATAGTTTATTCTATTCTGTTCTTAGACAAGGCGGAACTTTCTAACGGTGTCTCTCTCTCTTCCTCCTCTCTCGATCGCACCGTTGCTTAATGTGCGCTCTCTCCACTATTCACTCTGTCTCTCTCTTGCACTTTTTCACACGGCCGCCGCACGACAGGCGACAAAGTTTTCGTTTGTTTTTGTTTCTGCTTATAGACTATATTTTGTTTATTTTTTTATTAAATAATTTAAATTGATGTTGCGTTTAAATAAAATGTTTTAGTTTTGTTTAAATTAGTTTTGTTGTTGTTTTTGTTGTTCTCTCTTTTCTCCCGGTTATTTTGTACTTTAAAACTTTAATTCAGTTGTTTGTTGGTAGTTGTTGTTGTTGGTGTTGCTTTTGCTGTTTGTGTTGCTCTCGCTTCGCTTTGCTTTGTTCCTGTTGTTGTTTTTGATGTTGGTGTTTGTTGTTGTTGTAGTAGAGGCGGCGTTTTTGTTGTCTTAAATTTAAATAAATTTTTATATTTTTTTTTAGCAAATTGAATTCACTTTTGACTTAACAAAAATTCGTAATTAAATTAAAGCTTTCAGGAAAAATAAATGAGGAATTTTGGGATTGTTTAACGGTTGTTGTTGTTGGTGTTAAATTTTCTTTTCAGTTATTCGAGTTCGACGTCAACGTCAACGCCTCAGCGTTGCGTTTGTAGCTGCTAATGTTAGGCAGTTCTGATAATTATAATTATTTTTAAATATGTTTAGTGCGTGTGTGTGTATATTTATTTTATTTAGACCTCAACTCCGTTTTACTTCAGTTGATTTCTCTTTGTTGCTTTTTTCTGTTTTTCCGTTTATGTTGTTGTTGCTTTGAGTATTGACGAGTTAATTTCACAGCGTTTGAATTTTGTTTGGTTTTTTGTTGTTGGTTTTGAAAGTCTTCGTTTTAAGCTTGGCTTGTTTTGTTATTTTTTTCTTTTTGCACAGATGCGCAGTCGCTTTGTCGTCTCTTTCTTTCTCTCTCTCTCTCTCTCTCTCGCTCACACCCGCTAACAGACGTTCGCCGCAGACGGCGACGTTCCCCTTTTAAATTTTTTCTTTTCGTGTATTTTTTTTATTTGCTTTTTTACAGTCTTTTTGCTAATTTTTGTAGACTTTTCATGTGAGCTTTTTCGGCATGCAGTTGTAGAGTTTTAAAGCGAATTTGCAAACGAAAACAAAGGAAATTTTCAAAACTAAAAGTTTATGGCAGATGCCTCTCCGGTTATTAAACGCCTCTTAGACTTTTTGAGCTTTGTTGCTTTAGTTGTTGTTGTTGTTTGTTTGCTTTATTGGTATGTAACTTGGTATTTTGTTGTTGTTGTTGTTTTTATTAGATGATTTATTATTATTTGCTTTTTGATTCGTTTTCGATGGTTTTTATTATTATTATTATTTTATTCAGATTATGATGAAAGTGATGTCAAAACGGAGTTTTAGTTACAAAAGCTGCAACGAGAAAGAAAGTTAAACAATTAGTTCACATACACATGCATACGCATTATAGATGTTGTGTTTTAATAGAGTGCCCCTGTTGAGCGACAGCCACCCAGTGAAATCTACACCAAAAACTCTGCATTGTTGTTGTTGCTGCTGCATTTTTATTGATTTTTAGTGTTGCAAACCGGAGACTCGTACAATTCGCACGCACACACATTCACATTGACACGCACACAGAAGCTGCATAGAGATTTTACTATTGTATTGCGCCCTCACCACTATCGCAGAGTACCGGAAAAAATTGCACGCACACCTACAAAGGCACACCGATGTCAGACGAAAAACGTATTGAAGGCATTTTGTAAACTATTTTTACACATTTTTGTTATGGTTTTTAGCAGCCAACTGTACAGGCACACAAATACACACTCATTAGCACACATCCACATGTATGTACATGTCAAGTCGGTAGCAAATTTTTTTTTTTTTTCAAGATTTTTTTCGGCCTGCAAATTGCGTACCCTTCGCTCAGACAGTTACAGAAAACTTATCAAATACGCTAAAACGCCATGCCCAAGGCGACGTTTTATCTTAAATCACAAGTATATTGGCTGGAACGCGTTTTGTGCATATTTTCACAGTGAATTTGAGTTAATTTATTGGCTAATTTGAGCAAAAGAAAATTTTCACAACTAGCAATACGTACCACACGACACAGCACAACACCGGACGCCATGTTGGTTAGTGCTGGTAAACGTTGTATGCAAATGGCAGAACAATTGTGACGTCACCTTGCAAATATTTATTAATAATATATGATAGACAAGCAAATAAAATATTGTTTTTATTACTTATAATCAATATTTGTGGTAATTAGTTTAGTTACTTTGGTAAGAATTTAAAATTGGTGTTTTGGCTGCGCTGTACAGCACTGCCGGTCGCTAGTTCGCCAGCCCTGGTCAACTATCGAATGTGAGCAATGCCTTCAACTATTAGCTGAAAATCGAAATTTCACAATAGCGCACCATAAAATCTAAAAGTTTTTTTTTTTTGTTTTTAAAGCCATAACTTAAGACAACGTTGTGCTATATGGTGCGGTAGGTTTTGGCTCCTTGCAATAACTCAACAGTGGCTTCAAAATTGACAAGTTTTACAGTAGCATAAAATAACGGTGCGTGCTTGTCGTTATTTAACCTAAAGAAAACCGACTTTACACCTCCTCCCCCGCCTCCTTAGACAAAACCAAAGAGTGAAATGGCTTTCCGGCTCCTCAGCTCGGCGACGGCAATAAAAAGCCTGATGAAACGCAGTTATACTCAGTCTCCACTCACGTCAAAGGTAGATCAATTGATATATACTTGAAAATTTTATAATAATTGTATATATTCCATATAGTTACAGCATAATGGCGGAGCCCCGTTTGAGTTAACGCCACTGGTTCGGTACATTGTGGAACAGCTTCAAATGTTCTGCAAGAAACCGCCGAAGGGTTTTGAAAAGTATTTCGAGGCCGGTGGCAAAGCTAAACCAAAAGCAGCCGCCGAGGGAGATAAAAGTGCGGCTTCAAACAGCAAACAATCGAGCAGTAGTAGCAGCAGTAGCAGTAGCAGCAGCAAACCCAAACCACCCGCGATGAGGCCCAGCAGTTCCAATGAACCCAAATCGGATTGGAACTTTGGCATGTTCAGCAACAGCTCACGAGGCCCAGGGGCGCGTGGCACGGGGACGCCAAGCGGTCGTCCACTGGGTGAGGGCGGCGGCGGCGATCGGGAACGTTGGATACTCTTTGGAGCCATTGGCGCAGTTGTACTGATTGCCTCCTTTGCGTTCTTTGAAATGGGCTACAAGGAGATCTCCTGGAAGGAGTTTGTCAACAGGTGAATTTCGTCAGAAGAGCCAAGGGATTGCATCATCAATTTAATTTTGCAACTTCATCTGATTATGTAATCCACCTGAAAATCTTTTGCTCTCTATATATCCAGCTATCTCTCCAAGGGCGCAGTCGAGAAACTGGAGGTGGTTAACAAAAAGTGGGTGCGTGTCCGCCTGCTGCCCAGCCAGAGCAGCAGCGGCGTCTTGTGGTTTAACATTGGCAGCGTGGATTCATTCGAAAGAAATTTGGAGACTGCGCAAACAGAACAGGGCATAGAGTCCATCAATTTCGTGCCCGTCATCTATCGCAACGAAGTGGAGGCATCCAGTCTAACTGGTCTGCTGCCCACGCTCCTAATCATCGGCTTCCTCGTCTATATGATGCGCAAGTCGGCGGACATGATGGGCGCTGGGCGTGGACGCAAAGGCGGTGGCCTGTTTGGGGGTGTTATGCAATCGACAGCGAAGCTAATCAATCCCACAGAGATTGGCGTCGGCTTCAAGTGAGTGACGTTCTTCAACTTAACTGAGATCTCATTTAAATCCTCTCTCTTTCCCTCTCTTGCAGAGATGTGGCTGGTTGCGAGGAGGCGAAAATTGAAATTATGGAATTCGTCAATTTCTTGAAGAATCCACAACAGTATATCGATCTGGGCGCCAAAATACCGAAGGGTGCCATGTTGACCGGTCCGCCCGGTACTGGCAAAACTCTGCTGGCCAAGGCCACAGCTGGCGAGGCGAATGTGCCCTTCATCACCGTCTCCGGCTCAGAGTTTCTGGAGATGTTTGTCGGCGTGGGTCCGTCCCGAGTGCGCGATATGTTTGCCATGGCACGAAAGCATGCGCCCTGCATTTTGTTCATTGACGAAATCGACGCTGTGGGCCGCAAGCGAGGTGGCAAAACCTTTGGCGGGCATTCGGAGCAGGAGAACACACTGAATCAGCTGCTGGTCGAAATGGATGGCTTCAATACGACCACCAATGTGGTGGTGCTGGCGGCCACCAATCGTGTGGATATACTGGATAAGGCGTTGATGCGACCGGGTCGCTTCGATCGACAGATCTATGTGCCAGCGCCCGATATCAAGGGCCGGGCGAGCATATTCAAAGTGCATCTGGGTGCCCTTAAGACGGAGCTGGACAAGAATGCCCTGTCCCGTAAGATGGCAGCGCTGACGCCTGGCTTCACCGGCGCCGACATTGCGAACGTTTGCAATGAGGCGGCGTTGATTGCGGCGCGTGACTCCAAGGACTCCATTGTGCTGAAGCATTTCGAGCAGGCCATCGAGCGTGTCATCGCGGGCATGGAGAAGAAGACGAACGTCTTGGCACCCGAGGAGAAGCGAACGGTGGCCCACCATGAGGCGGGGCATGCGGTGGCCGGCTGGTTCCTAGAGCACGCCGATCCCTTGCTGAAGGTCTCGATTATACCGCGCGGCAAGGGTCTTGGCTACGCTCAGTATTTGCCCAAGGATCATTATTTGTTGTCCAAGGAGCAGCTCTTCGATCGCATGTGCATGACCCTGGGCGGCCGTGTGGCTGAGGAGTTGTTCTTCAATCGCATCACAACGGGTGCGCAGGACGATCTGAAGAAGATCACAGACATTGCCTACTCGCAGGTGGTGCGATTCGGCATGAACGAGAAGGTCGGCCAAGTGAGCTTCGATGTGGGACAGTCGGGTGATCCGGTGTTCAGCAAACCCTACTCCGAGGACACGGCCATGCTGATCGACGGCGAGGTGAGGGACATTATTAAGTGTGCGCACACAACAACGACCGAATTGCTGGTCAAGCACAAGGAGGATGTGCGTCGTGTGGCCGAGCGGCTGCTGCAGAACGAGGTGCTCAGTCGCGACGATATGATTGAGCTACTAGGACCACGCCCCTTCAAGGATAAGTCCACGTACGAGGAGTTTGTTGAGGGCACCGGATCCTTTGAGGAGGACACCACGCTGCCCGAGGGCCTCAAGAGCTGGAACAAGGAGAAGGAGGAGCCCGCCAGAACAGACACAACGGACACAACGCCACCCACGAAGCCTGCGACTGCTTCCCCCTAGACGTAGACGTCTGGAATCTGGAATCGCCGTCGTTGTCATCGTCTTTATATATTCTAGTGGCTGTTGTTATCATTGTTGTAGTCTAAGCAGATCATCTAGGGAATGTGGACTTCCACCTGGATCGCTGAAATTCACGACGTGCTTTAAACAAAAAAATTCTAACAAAATCTTTCGCTCTCCGAACATCCTTTGAAGCAAAAGTACTTCCTCTAATAACATTTTACAGCGTTTTTTCCACATTGTTGGCAGATGTTTCAAACAGTTTTTGTTTGTTTGGTATTTTATATAAAGGGCAGATATATTGGACACAGATTCTGGTTGTAGGTTGATAGTCCAAAATTTACCGTATTCTAGCAAAAAGAAATAAGCAAAAAAAAAAACACGAGTAAAATGCAATAAAACTTTCACAAACTTTCGAAAACTTAAAAACAAAACCAATATACCCGTTGTCAATGGGTTTCGGGTATAAAAAGGCCCATGAGGCTCTGGATTACGAGTGGTTAAAAAGAGTGAGATGTGTGCAATTTGTATGTTACAAAAAGTAATGTACATATATTAATAGAAAATACACACGCCGAAACTGAAATAATTATATTAATTAATAATAACAAGCTACACGAGCATAAAAAGGTATAACTTTTTAAGATTGGACTTCATTTAGCCGAGCTATGATCATTTAAAGTTAGGAATATTTTCGCAAAACATCGAAAAACTTTTTAAAATCTAGCCGAATATAATTATCGATTTGCATTTGATATCGAATTCAAAAGCAAAAGCTATGCAAAGCGTTCGGTTTTAAAATATGCACAGCGTGAGCTTTGAAAGCTTCAGCATAAAACACAAATTGCGAATGAAAGCGATGCTCTTAAATGTAAACTATGCGCTCTTAAGCAGCAACGCACTCTCTCACTCACACTCACACACACACAAACACACGATAGAGCGCTCTCTGCACTGCTTATCACTTATCAGCTGTGCGCTGGCTTTTCGGCATGATGCAGCCGGCTGGCTGGTGCAATGTGAACACACGCACATACTGACACACGCTGTCGCTGCCGACGTCGCGGCCAAAGCTTTGCTCAACTACTACGAACCACTACAAATGCAGCGCGTGCTACTGTGACCCGCTACCGTCGCCGTCGCTGCTGCTGCTGCCGCTGCTGCCTCAGTGTCAGTGTGTTGTTTGGGGGCTTCAGCTACGTTGGGGCTGGCTGCCGTGGCCGTGTCTCAGTGTCGTCTTGTTGGTTGTCGCGTTCGTGTGCGCGCACAAAATCAGCAGCAGCAGCAAACGCAGCAGCAACAGCAAGCAGCGCAGCAATTGCAATCGAATAAAGAATATATATTAAAAAAAAAAAAAAAAATTAGCTAGCTCGTTGCAGTTGTTGCAAGTGAAGTGCGTGCCAGTAACGGCAGAAACAACAACAAAAACAACAAAGCAAAAAAAATTATTTGTTTATTTATTGAGGCGGGCGCGCAGGGCATTGTGTCAATGCAAAATTGACGATTATATAAAAGTGCGCGGCATTCAATTCTAATTACAAACAAACGGCAAATAAAGTGCAATTTGACTGTGTGTGCATGTCTGTGCATGTTTGTGCGCGTTGGTGTGGGAAATGGCAAAGTGTGTTTGGTTTTTTAGGCCAAGTGTTTGTTAGGCCGGAAATAAATAAAAGGCAGCGACAGCTCTGCCCACACGTAAAGAGCCAACAGCTAAAAGCCAACAGCAAGCGACAAGCGGCAAAAGGCTTTTTCTCGATCGCACGTGCAAAATGGCGGCCGGCCGGCAAAGTTACTAAAGCAACAACAATGCCAAGCAGGAGCTTAAACCGAAACTCTCCAATTACACACACACATACGTATAGACGATCGTGGCGCCAACTGGCGGCAGTTTTATGCACTCGATCACATTCTGTAATTTTCGTTTGATTTTCGCAGCGAATTTTTAGTGCTGTCGTTGTTGCTGCCAATTGTCACAATTGGCGGGTCACGTGTTTGCTGCCGCCGCCAGTTAACTTCTGCTCTCGTTGTAACGGTGCATGTACCGTAACAGCTAGCTCCCCACCCACGGTGTGCATGTATGAGTCGCTGTGTGTGTGTGTGTGTGTGTGCGTATGTGTCGCTTGCATGCTGCGCGTTATTATAAAGCTCGATGTTGTTGTTGTTCTTCTTCTTCTTGCTTTCGGGGAGTCAACACGCTGTCCCCATTGCATGCAATACTCTGTTTACATACATATGTATGTATGTGTCTGTGATTGTGTGCGTGTGGGTGTGGGAAAGATCAAGGCGTGTTTTGCAAAAACACAAAAAAACAATGGCAACAACAACAACAAAAGCAAATTGCTATGAAATCGCTTTCGCTTGCACACATTTGTTTTTTGTTTTTTGCGAAATGGAAGGCAGCTTGCAAAAGGATTTACCACAGCGTCATAGAAATTGTCATAGCAGTTAATCAGCAGTGTTGGAAAGCGCACTGGTTTCTCTTTAATGCTTAAGCTCAGCTTAGTATTAGACTGGGAAGAGCTTTACCAGTTGCGCTCAGCGTTCGTTTAACAAAGGCAACAGCAACAGCATTCACAGATGCATATCAGGCGGATGTTTGAGAGGCGCATAGAAGAACTTTGCCGCTTAAAGACCTTTTGAACTATATTTGCATTTTTACACAAAAGAGAAATGAAAATGAAAAAATGCTTGCAACAGCGATATTCATTGTAACATATCTAGCTATAGCGCCACACCCCCGTCGCCCCTCGCACAGTTGTTTGAAGTTTACGATTTTACGTTTCGAATCATTTGAAATTTACGGCCAGAGGCTATCGACTACAGCTGCTTAGAAATTGCAATTTGTTTTAGGTTTCAGCCAATTTGATGGCGTGATTTGGTTTAGGTTTTTACTTTTATTTTGTTTTATTTTTATTTATACATATATATTTTCTATATACGTATGTATGTATATAATTGCAGTAATATGTTGCCTTCAAAACAATTCAAACAACAATAGTTAACGCAACGTTTCTAAAACATTTCTCAAATAATTAAACTAAGCAAAAGTAAATTAAAGGAAAAAAAAAAAAATTAAACTTAAACTTTGTTAACCAAAAGTGGCCTGCAAAACGAAGCAACAACCCAGAAATGTGATTCCAAGTGCGAAATGTAACAAAAAACGTAAACAATTTTGTTTTGGATAAACAAAATAGTAAAGAAAGAAGTAAATAAAATTAAAATAATAATTACGAAAATCAATAACAACAACAACAACAACAACAACAACAACAAATGGAACTCGCGCGAGCAGCCATTGTCAATGATTAATACGGAGAGTTAGATTCATAGCTCACCACGTCGCCGTCGCCGGACTCGCCGTCGTCTTAGTTAGCATTAGACGTAGCCACACACACACACACACACCTCAACACACACGCATACACCCACACACCCTTTTCAATGCAGCAGCAGCAGCAACAGTCGCATCAACAGTTTTTAGAACGTTAGCCGAAGCACACACAGAGTTCCAGAGCAGCCAGAGCTAGAGAGCGAGCAGCGTACACATAGCCAGAGGAAAAGAGATAGACAGCAGGACAGTGAGCGAAAGCGATTTAGCCAACATGGACATCAAGATTGAGCAGCAGCAGCAGCAGCAGCAGCAGCAACAACAACAACAACAGCAACAGCAGCAGCAGCAGCAAACGGAGCTGGGGCCCGTTTCGCCTTCGGAGGTGCCAAATGATCCTGGGTAAGTGTCGACGTGAACGTGGCATTAATTGTTTTAGTTGCGTCTATCCTGTAAATTAAATGTCGGGTAGATTGGTGTGGCATGCAACTTGCATTACATTAAGTTATCTTTAGTTGCGACAGCATCTGATACGATAAATTCTCTGTTTCTTTGTCTAATTGCACTTAACTGATGTTTCGAATACTCTGGGATAATATGGGAATATATAATATGTGATAATATGATCTATATAATTTTGTTGGTATGCAATTATGAGACATATGTCATATGTAAACTAGTATCTGTTTGATCTTTAAATATGTTATATTGGGTTATATGACTTTGGGATTAATGATTTTCAAAGCTGAGTGCTAAATTTAAATAATTTTTTTACTTTATTTGAGTATTGTAAAATATGGAGAGCAAGATGTTGGTCAATAGTATATTTAGGTAAGGGTGAACTCTTGAATTCCCACCTAATTATTAAGCTCAAGCACTACAAAGAAGCGAAATCAGCTTCCGGAATAGAATCCATGCCAATGTCATGTCCAGTACTGTGCTGCTTACAGGGTATCTGCTGGCCAATCAATCGCCTCTGATTTAGTCTTGCTTGTTTTACTTTTAAGTTGTCATTATTGAAGCCAAGTGTGAAAAGCCCGCGCGACTCCAGTGCCGCCTCCCGGCCACTGGGCGGGGCGTGTGAAAGAACTGTTGACAGAAACTTTTTCTGTGTCAACTGCCCAGCCGGATGAGATAGACCAAGCGCCGCCTCCCCCAGCACCAGGCCAAACTCGTTCTGGTCATGCTGCTGGCCATCCCTTGGCTAGGGCCACGCTGAAACTAATTAGAAAACAATTTGCTAAGGACATCAAAATTCAATTAAAGCCATTGAGTTTAGTGCTTTAGTGGACTGCAGTAGCAGTTGCAGCTGCAGTTCCCGACTATAAGGCATGACCCCTGACCTCCCACTCGCCCTCAATCCCCATTTGGGCAACAGTTTATTATCGTTTGGGTGGACTAACTGTGAAATGGGTTAAGTTGTGATTGCGGTGTCATATGCAGCAGATTAATTGCAAGCTGCATTGCTGATAATTTGCATCGGTTGTGCATTTCGTGCGCAAAACTGTCACAAAGTCAGACAACGGCCAAATGAATGGCAAATGATTGGCACTAAACTGAGCTAAATGAGCTGCCCGAGCGAACAGAGATGGCAGATGAGCGTGAGAGAGAGCGAGAGAGAGGGAGATGTCAGAAGGCTAAATGATAGCCGAGTGTGAAATAAACAAAACTTTGTATGTGGACATGGGACCACGGTCACTGATGCCAGCTAATGTGTTTGAGTAGCGCAGAGAAAGGCTCATTTTGGGTGGATTAGCTGGGAATTTGAACTAATTTGAAAAGGGAGTGAGGTTCTCTCCCTCAGGTAGAGCAAAAGTAAGGTGGGTAGGTGATGGGATGATAAGAAGAATGAAGAGAGGGAGAGAGAGAGTGTTTGAGAGAGAGAGAGATAGAGATAGACGGAGTGGGAAATCAAAGAGAAAGTGAGAGAGAAGGTAACATGCTTGGGGGAGAGAGAGTGAGAGACATGGAGATATATATAGAGGTGGGAGATCGGAAAAGAAGAGAGAAGGAATACGAGAGAGAGACAGAAAGAGAAAGAGGTGAAGATAGATAGAAAGTGAGAAGAAGTGACAGAGAAAGAGAGAAAGACGAAGATAGACAGATATAAAGGATGAGATATAGAGTGAGAGAGGGAGGTAGAGGTAAATAAAAAACGTGTGATGTAACGAGAATGGATAAAGATAGAAAAAATGGCATGAGGAGAGAAAGAAAATAAAGGGAAAGAGATATGATATGCCGTGCATAAGTATCGAAATATAGACAATTTGATAGTATAGTAGAAATGTAGCGAGATGCATCCAAGGACATATTCTAGGATTGCTTGGCAACTTGATAGTACGAGAGTGAGAGAGAAAGAAACAAGAAGTCAAAGAGAAAATGTAAAATCCCTGCAAAGCAAAGCTTTCAAAATGATTACAAAAATAATTTAATTAAGACTTGAAGGCAGAAGAGGAAAGCCTTTTGCTTATGAAGCATCGACTTGAGTAGAGGCATTATGAATTATCTGGCAGCACTTCAGATTTCAGTTTTCAGTTCCAGCGAATTGCGCACAGTAATCAGCATCTGCATCTGCATCTGCCACTGCCACTGCAACTGCCACTGGGCCGCTTTCCATGTGGATGCCGCTGCAGTTGCAGTTCGCCTTTTGCCTTTTGCCATATGGCCAAAGCGCTGTCGCTGTCGCCGTCGTCGCAACCCATTGAACACGCAAGGCCTATAAATTATGCAGTTTCCTACTTATATAGTATGCACCTATATCTGTTGATTCATATATATATATATGAATATGAATATATAGTTATATATTTATGAAGCTGTGGAACTTATGTGTATATATGTATATACATATATCTATTATCGAAGCGCTGCAAATTGTATAACTCGGGCGAATTTCAGCACTTCCCAATGAGCTGCTCCCTAGCTCATCTTGTCTAACTGCATTAGTTGCCAAACACACACACACACACACATGCATAAATACACATACACACATTCGAAAATAGGCTCTTTTCGGGGCACAAAGCGAAGAGCTACCGGATAAAAGAAATGGATCACCTGCTGCTGGCAGCTCCACGCTTGACGTTGACGTCGGCGTCGACAGTGGCAGCGACAGCGACAGCGACAGCAACAGCGACAGCGGTGGCAGGTGCAACAGGCAACAGGCAATGCAACATTGGGGCAATGTCTGCGATGGCGGCGCGAATGGCAACTGCAGCACCTAGCGCATGTTGAATGCATAAATCTTGAATTAATGCAAAATACCTTTTGATGACGCTGCGAGATACACACACACAAACACACACACACGCATGCACACACACACACATTCGCCGTCTGAGATACAGATACAAATGTATCTTTTAGCGCAAAACGTTGTGCAACATTGCGAATACAATTCCATTCACAGTTTCTTTCGCTTGCCGCGGGCCGGCGATCGCAGCTCGTTACGGCTCAGTAAATTTGGACGTCCTATTCAGTGTAGGCCCCCACTTTGGCTCCACTCCGCCCCGACCCTCATGGCCCGTTATATTTACCTAGCCGGCTAGTTTATAAATCTTTTGAAGGGCCCTAGCGAAGAGATTTGCTGGCAACGCGCAAAAACGGCAAAGTAAATAAACACAAAATGCAAAATGTATGAAGGAAAGCAACAACAACAACAACAACAAATATATTTATATATATAAACATACATACATATTTATGTGTAGAAATAAAAATAAATATAAATAAAAACAAAAGAGAAGAACAAAAAGTAAACGAACATAGAAAGAAATAACTAAATAAATGCCCTGCTATTAATACAATTCACTTTGCCAATGTATTTTTAGTGCAAAAACAGAAACAAGTGAGAGTCGCAGCGATATGCCAATGATAGGACCTATGAATACCCTATAAAAAAACTTTGAATTGATATTTATATAAATTACTTACTTTAACATTATTCAATTTAATTCAGTGTCCCTTTTAAAGTTTGTAATTCATTTTTAATTTATTGTGTTCATTTTTATTGAAATATATATTTTTTAAACGCTTTACCGAAAATTTATGATATTTGTCGAGAAAAGATTTGAAAAAACTTTTTTTTTTTTGTTTGTTTTTTTTTTTTTATTTATTGATTTTTTTTTTTTTAAATAAATAATTTTTGCTTATCAATTAATTCTTACCAAGTCACGATTTATTAGTACCTATTGAATTACTGCTCACATGAATAATTTAGAAATATTCTCACACTTCATTTAATATCAAATAGATCGACATTTGGCTCACTCGCTTTACAGGGTATATAAAATGAGCTACGACTGGCATGCGACTTCGACAATTATCTATTACAACTGACACGCGGGTCCAAAAAAAAAAAAAAAAAAAAAAGAAGAAGAAAACTAAAAACATAAAAAAGAAGTAAGAACAATGCAATCGGGAGTAACCGACTATAAAATGCTCGATCAGGATGTTGAATCGGTGCGAATATTAATGATTTCGACTCATCTGAATATTTTGGTTCATATTGATTCAGTTATGATTGGAGCTTTGAATCTGTTGAGGATATTAGCGATATGAGGGGTATTCCACAGCTTTTGTCAAAATTAATAAAGATATAAGATTTATAGCAATTCACAATCGTCGTCACAATTTGCTTTAAGTACTCTATAAATTCTAGTATTTTCCTATTAGTCAAGCTCTACTGGGTGTATTCAACGGGAGTCGGTGTTAGTCCCACACATCAACTCTTTATATCCAAAAACGAATATACTCTTTTTACCATTTCGAAAGAGTATTCAAAATATAAATAAATATAAAAAGAAAAATACAACTCGTTTGCGGTTTGCTTCTCGTCGTCGTTGTCGCTGTTGTCTCCGTTGATGTTGTCGTCGGCTCTGGCTAAGTCCACGGCTCCCTCCGCCAGCTGCACGGGCCGTCGCAGCATTTAACGCGTGTGCCAGGCCCAAAAAAAAAAAAAAAAAAAAAAAAACAAAAAAAAAAAAAAAAAAAAAAAAAAAAAAAAAAACAGACAACGGCAACAAATGCAACTGCAACAAACTGCAATGAGCAACTGCAATTGGAAATGCAATTGCACTCGCTGCTCTTTTCGTAATTGTCGTTTTGTTCTTGTCTATGCTCGCTTGTAATTGTGGCTTTGTTACGTTTCGTAAATTGATTCATTGTACACGGTCGTCGTCGCCCTTTCAGACTCAGCCCCCCGCAATCCCCGCCACTGTGCTTCTCTCGCTACCGTCCGGCGGATCGGACGGCCATGCCGTAATTGCTTTCAAATGATTTTGTGTCGCTGTGTGCGCAATTCCATATTGTTGTCGTCATTTTTGGTTTATAACTGCCGTCTGACTGCCAATAAGCTATGCTTGCTCTCTCACTCTCTCACTATCTGTCTCTCACTCCCTCGC